AAACCCCCTTCATCACCAAAGGATTACGTTTTTTTGCCTTGGTGCTTTTTCGCTCTTTTCCCCCGTCGAGAGCCTCTATGGGAGAAGCGAACGTTCCATCCCTTTTCCGATCGCCGTGGAAAGCCCCTTCCTGCGCTACTATTTTTTACCTCTCATGATCCCCCGCAAATTTCCCTTTCCCTTTATAGAATGGTCACTGATAATTTAAATAGACCCCAAAAATTTTTTTTTGTTTTGCCCCCCCTTGGGTTTTCTCCGTCCCTTCTCTCTTTTGCCTTCATTCGCTCTTTTCTTCTCTTCAAAACCACCTTTCTATGTACATTTTAAACATCCACTTTTCCCTACCCCCCCGGGGAAATTTCCCCGCTTTCGATCTTTCTTTCTTTCCCCCCCTTGCTCGAAAGGGCCCCAAAGTCACGGTCGCTTCCCCTTCCCCCCTTTTTTTTTTGAAAACCCCCTTTCACTCTCATTCTCCAAAGCCATTGTGGGACACAGATGGGTCTAAGGTTTTTTCTGACGGGGTAGGATTCCCCCAGCAGTGTTTCCGGACAGCGTCGTACAAGGGGATTTTCTATCTTTTTGGCTTTGTTTTTTTTACTGCGAATTTTATGCCATCCTTTCGAGCACTTACCCCCTATTGCATCTATGCCCCGTTTTCATCATTTTGGTTTTCTCAGACTCCCCCTTTGGTTTCTTTAAAAAGGCCCATAAAAAAAAATTTGATTTCACCTCACCCCTTTAAATCCTCCGAACCAACTTTGGCTACGCCGAAACTTTTTACCAACATAAAGAAATTGGGTTTTTTTTTTGGGGCCCGGTCCTGGGTTACGTACAGGGAAAGGAAAAGGCCCCACTGCTTGGGGGCCCTTTACAGTACATGAAACCCACCATGTTCTTATAGAGGTTTTCCATTTTACGGGCTATTTTTTCGGGAATATCTTCCCACCTTTACACCTTTTGGGAACAACTTGGTCTACTAAGCTCGGCAACAAACTTCATCTTTTTAAACCGGTAAAGGTTAAATGGCCCCCTTTTTAACACCAGGGGGTCAGTTGGAGACCCACTCCTTTTCCCCCTCTTCCATTGGCCATACTCGTCTTAAACCCTGGATAAAATCATGGGGAAGGGGTCTTTTCTCCCCCTCTGTGAGAATTTTTCCAAGCCCATTTCAGTCCCCGCCACATTCGTTGGACTGGGGCCCCTTTTTCAAACCAGCACGCAGAATTTACCTCTGTCCCCTTTTTCGCTCCGCTGCCCCTCTTTTTCCCCCCACTCGCTGGGAAAGGGCCCCCCCTTTCTTTCCGGGCACTCTCATTGACTTTTTGACAAATGGGGCTGCTTACTTCACAAATTTTTGATACCTTCAAACCCCTTTTTACTTCAATGTCCCTTTCAAACCCCCTACCCCCCCTACAACCCCTGCCCCCGCGTTTTCCCGTAACCTTGCTTTATCAACCCCCCTCCCTTTTGCCTTCCCCAATTTCCCCTTTTTTCCTTCCCCAAAACCCTGCAGCGTGTATAGCCCTTTTGGCTTAGCGCTTCTTTTTTTATTATAAAAAATAATTTAAATCCCTCCGTAACATTTTTTTACCCACTTTAACATTGAAATCCCCCCCAACCACCAAGTAAATAGCAAAGCGAAAAAAATCCATCAAAACAGGACTCGCACAATGGTTTTTTAAAATTGGAAAAGTTCAGATTGAGGGAAAGGGCATAGGAAAGCAAATGGTTTGGGAATTTAAACTGTGGGAGGGAACAAATTCCCGATACCATCATAGAAACTAAGATGTTTTTGTATTTTAAAAAAAGGTTGGATAAAAACATGATGGGTATGGTCGGGGGTGAGTTGGACCTGACTAGCTTATGGGCCAAAAAGTTTCGGGGCTGTGCTTTCCCTTCTTCCTGGGGTTTTTCCTGGAGAAAAGTTTCCGGGGGGCAAACCCCCCGCGGGGCCCGGGCTGTTTTCAGGCGGCCTTGGGGATCAAGGGCCCGATCAACCCCGGCTTTACTGTGGGTGCACGCAAACCAACGTTTCGAGCCACAACCCTCTGGTCAGGAACCGACTTTGGGGCTTTTCCAGTGCCAGCTTGAAGACTGCCAGGGGTCTTTTGGGTAATCCCCCTTATGTAGCTGGGAGGCAGTTGAACAGTCTCGGGCCCCTGACACTTATTGTATGGTCTCTTAACGTGCTAGTGACACCCCTTTTTTTCATTGGGGGGATGTTGCATCGTCTGCCAAGTCTTTGCTTTCGTAGCGAGTGATTTCGTTTGCAAGTGCGGTACTAGTCCCTCTAGGATTTTCCAGTGTATATAATCATGTATCTCCCCGTCTGCATTCCGGGGAATACAGGTTTAGGAACCTCAAGCGCTCCCAGTAATTGAGGTGTTTTTATCTCCGTTATGCGTGCCGTGAAGGTTCTCTGTACATTTTCTAGGTCAGCAATTTCACCTGCCTTAAAAGGGTGCTGTTAGTGTGCAGCAATATTCCAGCTAGATAGAACAATGACCTGAAGTGTGTCTCACGGGCTTGGCCTCCCTATTTTTTGGAGGTTCTCATTATCCATCCTGTCATTTTTTCTAGCAGATGCGATTGATACAATGTTAGGTCCTTAAAGGGTGAGATTCCTCCGACATGATCACTCCCAGGTCTTTAACGTTGGTGTTTCGCTCTATTTTGTGGCCAAAATTTTTTTGTACTCTGATGAAGATTTAATTTCCTCGTGTTTACCATATCGGGAGTAATTGAAATTTCTTATAGTTTGAACTTCATATTGTTTTCTGCAGCCCACTGAAAGATTTGGTTGATGTCCGCCTGGAGCCTTGCAGTGTCTGCAATGGAAGACACGTCATGCAGATTCGGGTGTCATCTGCAAAGGGAAAAGAACATGGTGCTGTGGCTGACATCCTGTCTGTCGGATATGAGGATGAGGAACAAGATGGGAGCGAGTACTGTGCCTTGTGGAACAGAGCTTTTCACCGTAGCTGCCTGGGACTTTACTCTGTTGACGACAAACTCTGTGTTCTGTTAGTGAGGAAATTAAGATCCATCGACCGACTTTTCCGTTTTTCCTTTAGCACGCATTTGTGCGCTATTACGCCATGGCACACTTGTCGAAGGCTTTTGCAAAGTCTGTATATATTACATCTGCATTCTTTTTGTCTTCTAGTGCATCTAGGACCTTGTCGTAGTGACCCAATAGTTGAGACAGACAGGAGCGACCTGTTCTAAACCCATGTTGCCCTGGGTTGTTAACTGATGGGTTTTTTAGATGGGTGGTGATCTTGCTTCTTAGGACCCTTTCAAGATTTTATGAAAATGGGGTGTTAGTGCTATCGGTCTGTAGTTCTTTGCTGTTGCTTTTCTGCCCCCTTTGTGGGGTGGGGCTATGTCTGTTGTTTTTAGTAACTGGGGACGATCCCCCCGGGCCATGCTCCCTCTCCATAGGATGGAAAAGGCTCGTGATAGGGGCTTCTTGCAGTTCTTGATGAACACGGAGTTCCATGAGTCTGGCCCTGGGGCAGAGTGCATGGGCATGTCATTTATCGCCTGTTAGAAGTCATTTGGCGTCAGGATAACATCGGATAGGTGGTCATTGTTCTAGGCCGGGGGGTGGCATGGACCTGCTTCGCATCGGTCAGTAGTCCTGTTGCAGTGTTCCTTCTTTCTTATGTTCTTAACCCTTCCAGAGTTTCCGATGTACTAGGACGGCTTACGCACCAGGCTTATTGACATACTCCTACGCCTAAATTCTTGCGCCTTCAAATCTAGCAAGAGAAAGCTGGTAGGTCTACATATGAAAGAATGAGTCTGTGGTCAGTGTGCACAGTATAAAAAAAAATCCTGCAGCACACACTGCGTAATGAGAAAAAAAAAACTTTGACCGTGTTTTTGGTTTAAAACAGCGAATTTGCACTGTATTTTCACATTGTATTTATGGTTGTATTCTAGTTTTCCAAGTCTCATTTTATAGAAAGGAAGACATTACAGAAATTGGGATGATTTTGATTGGTTTCACAATGAAAAGTACCTTGAAATTGAGCTCAAGGTAGCAGAAATGTTTGATTTTTGCCCAAGTTCAAAAGTAAACAAATCATGCCACGCGTCCAGTACACATCAACTGGTGAGTCTAATATTCTTTCACAAGTGCGCTGATATTATTTATACCATTTCTTCACTAATGCAATAGTCTGCATAACAGTAAATCTTCTATTTTTTGTGAGAATAAAAATTCAGAGTGGAAAGCAAAAGAAATGTAAGCGGGGCCTGGGGACATGACTAACGAACAGAGGAAATGTTATTTTAGTGCCAGGAATGTCCATCTTGTTTATTCTGGCCCCTATTTGGAAATTGGCATCTTTTGAAATGTGTGAAATTGGCAAAATTGCTATTTTCTGACCACTTTATTGGATAGTTGAAATTGGTAAATGGGTGGTTTCTTGTACTCATTCGATAGAAAAAATGGAGTTCTAGTGAAATAGTTATGATTTTTGTCAACTAATACAGTGGACCCCCGCTTTACGATCAGCTCCCAATGTGACCAATTATGTAAGTGTATTTATGTAAGTGCTTTTGTACGTGTATGTTTGGGGGTCTGAAATGGACTAATCTAATTCACAATATTTCTTATGGGAACAAATTCGTTCAGTACTGGGACCTGAACATACTTCTGGAATGAAATAATATCGTAAACCGGGGGCCCACTGTACAATGGAATTGGCCGAAAATAGGGCTCAAATTGGGCGAAATCGCCAATGCATAAACATCGTTGAGAACGCTAACTTCGTGAGAGCATAATTCCGTTAGTTTTCCATTAAATTTCATAATTTTGGTGTCATTATGACCGGGAAAAGATTCTCTATTCATAAGAAAAAAATAATTTTTTTTTTCCGAAAAATTTTCGACCCTGAGAACAAGTTTAGGAGAGGGCCTCTCAACTCTGAAAGGGTTAAAAAAAAATTACAGTAACAAATTAGATTGTTTATTTCCCAATGACACTTCAGGTGGAGAGAATGGCAGTAACGATGGAGGAAATGATAGATCAGTTGGCAGAGGTGTGATGCGTGGCCGGGCAGAGATTGATCGGATTATTTGTACTAAGCCTGCATCAGTCCCAGTAAAGAGAGGCAAGTTTGATTAGTATTACATTGATGTAGCTTTTTAATTTGTCATTCAACATGTTATGTAAATTTAAACTGTAAACAGATGATGTATTAAATGGAATTTTTTTTTGTTTTAACCACAGTATTTTCACATTGTAACTGCTTAACAGCAAAATTCATTTTAATAACTGCTTATTGTGGTAATTTTTACCACTGAATCTATCATTGCTTAGTAAATTTTAAGTTTATTTTAAGCCTGCCCATAATGCTCTGCATACAAGGGGCTTTTGGCATGTACCCCCCAGCTACTCTAATTCCTTGTACAACTATGTATCATGTCCAAGTAAAATATTGTATTGCATTGAAATTCACAGGCACCGCAGGGCAAAGTGTGACATTGTTGACGAATTACTTCAATTTAATAAAAAAACAAGACTGGATGTTATGTCTGTATCATGTATACTTTAAGTAAGTTTCCTGTGTCTTGTACTATTTTCTAACATTTTACTGTAATGAACAATAATAGTGTGTAGACTGGTATTGGTTGGATTTACACTGGGTAAAAGAAGAGGGTTATTTTCTCCTATTGACATAATTTTCTACAGGTTTACTCACTGTAGAAATAGCTACTGTACTTTATGATCTCTCTCCATTTTAGTCTTGACTTTACCATTTTAATATTCTCTCTAACATGCACGCTCTCTTGAATTGTACATTAACATGAATATTTTACGGTAAGGTTTTCTTCCAGTATACAGTGGAACGTCTGCTTACGAGTTTAATCCGTTCCGTGGCCTTGCTTGCATCTGGATTTGCTCGTTTGCAAAGTCAATTTTTCCCTATTTAAATTAATTGAAATGGAATTAATCCATTCCAGTGGAATTCCAGGCACAACAAAATACTTAAATAATTTCCCTAATATCAACTCTGTAGCTTATTTATCTATCACAATTTATCTAATATGACATAAACAATATTAACCCTTTCAGGGTCCAAGGCCCAAATCTGGAGTCACGCACCAGTGTCCAAGAATTTTCAAAAAAAAAATTTATTTTTTCTTATGAAATCGTAGAGAATCTTTTTGTGAAGGTAATAAAACAAAAAGTACGAAATTTGGTGGAAAATTGACGAAATTATGCTCTCGCGAATTTTGATGTGTCAGCGATATTTACGAATCGGCGATTTTGCCGACTTTGACTCCCATTTTAGGCCAATTACATTATTCCAATCAACCAAATTCTTAGCTATTTCACTAGTATTACTTCTATTCTATCGATTGAGCACAAGAAATCGCCAAGTCAACTGTTTCAACTACAAAATAAAGTGATCGGAAATTGTTAATTTGGCCAATTTAACACAAAGTTCAAAATATTCCAATTTCAAAATAGGGTCCAGAATGAACAATGTAGGCATTCCTGGCACTAAACTAACATTTCCTCTGTTCATTAGTTATGTTTTAAGGCTTTACAAATAAATTCCATTTTGATTTTTTATTCACATAATGAATTTTTATTCACACCAAAAAATAGAAGATTTACTGTTATGCAATACTGTAATAATTGTATAAATATCATCACCATATTTGTGAATGTATATTAGACCCACCAGCTGGCGTGTATTAGACGTGTGAGGTCGTTTGTTTACTCTTGAATATCGGCAAAAATTTAACATTTCTGCTACTTTGAGCTCAGTTTCAAGCCATTTCCAGTGCTAAAACCAATCAAAATCATCTATATTTATGTAATATGTCTTCCATTCTATCAAATGAGACCAAGAAATCGCAAATACAACTATAAAAAACATACGAAAAAACACTGCAAATTTGCTGTTCTAATCGAAAAATCATGATTTCATTTTTTTTCTCTCATTATACACAGTGTGCTGCAGGATCTGTTTTATGTGGTGCACACATACCACATAGATGTATTCTCTCATATCTAGGCCCAAATGTACCACTCACAGTTTATCAGAGTGAGCTGAGCTCATGGCGTAGATCTACGGTTTGGACCCTGAACATAAAGCCGTAGATCTACGGGACAGACCCTGAAAGGGTTAATAACATAAAACGTGATATATACACTAGAGAGAATAAAATACATGCCATTACATATGTGGCTAGTGGTGGTGAGAGTGGCCGTTGTTGTTGGGGTTTATAGGGCCACCACAGTGGACATTCCTGCTTCTGACTACATGTGTAGAGAACCTAGGATAACCCAAAAAAGTCAGACAGAGTGACTTATAATTACTACACTTTTAATGCTACACTTTGTCACTGACTCCTCCTGCTTTAGTATTGTACATATTGTAGAAGTGGTAGGCTGGTACTGCCTGGACAAGTCCTTAACCCTCCACTTAGTTTATCTATGATTTCCTGCTTTAATTCCATGGAAATCATCCTCTTTTTCTTCTCAGCACTGTCCTTTGCACTTGCTTTCTTAGGACCCAAGGTTAGAAACAAGAAATTTTGCAAAATAACTGCATGAAACGTAAGGAAAACACAAGAATTCTCTCCATCGCGAGTGGAGTGGACTGAATGTTGTTTTGATACATACTGCAAGTCTCGTGGTGGCGTTCGGAAACTCACTTATAGTATAAGGTATGGCAAGGTTGCTACCAGGGTACAACAAGGATGCTACCAGGGTACAACAAGGATGCTACCAGGGTACAACAAGGATGCTACCAGGGTACAAGGTTGCTACCAGGGTACAACAAGGTTGTTTTCAAGGTACAAGGTCTGCCACTGCTGCCTCATGTCTGCTACTGCTGCTTCATGTTGTCTGCCACTGCTGCTTCATGTTGTCTGCCACTGCTGCTTCATGTTGTCTGCCACTGCTGCTTCATGTTGTCTGCCACTGCTGCTTCATGTTGTCTGCCACTGCTGCTTCATGTTGTCTGCCACTGCTGCTTCATGTTGTCTGCCACTACTGTTTCATGTTGTCTGTCACTGCTACCTCATGATGTCTGCCACTGCTGCTTCATGTCTGCTACTGCTGCTTCACGTTGTCTGCCACTGCTGCTTCACGTTGTCTGCCACTGCTGCTTCACGTTGTCTGCCACTGCTGCTTCATGTTGTCTGCCACTGCTGCTTCATGTTGTCTGCCACTGCTACCTCATGATGTCTGCTCCACTTTTGCTAGCGTGTTGAAGAGCTTTGCAATATGTGAAGGTTGAGGGGCAGTGCCAATCGGACAGGTATTGGACAGTGACATCATTTGTTTACTCTTGAGCATCGCCAAAGATTCAAACATTTCTACTACTTTGAGCTCAATTTCAAGGTACTTTTCATAGTGAAACCAATCAAAATCGTATCTATTTCTGTAGTATATCTTCCATTCTATCAAATGAAAAAAAAAAAAAAGAAAATAAAACTATAAAAAACATCCAAAAATATACTGCTAAGGGCTGAGAAGTGAACTCCATTATTTATGGTCTGATTTCTTTCATTTTTGGTGTACGTTAAGAAGCATCTTTCCATCATACATTGCCCAAGTTTCAATAAGATAATCCAACAAACAACTGAGATCCAATTCCCTAAATCAAGAGTGTCAAGGAACCTCCCGTGAGGCCCGCTCGCATTTGGAAATTTCACTAGTGTCTGGAACCAAAAAATCATATCTGGAAAAACTCACAAGTGGATGCACTCATAAGTAGAGGTTCCACTGTATTTTGTAATTAAGAGGCTTTTTGTTCGGCTAATTTTTAACCCTGTTTAGAGCATTTATGTACTTTAACATAGAATGGTCCATTTTAGTGTTTGTGTCATTTTTATTGGATATTGGATAGTACTGCAGAAACCTTTTACCCTGAACTTTTGTTTCAAAGTTAAGTATTAAAATTTGCATTCATAATTTGGTTAAAATTAGAATTGAAAAAATGGCACTTTAATGTAACTTTTAGCACTATAGTTCTGTAGTGCTAAAAGTTGTTCAACTGCCTCCCAGCATACATCAGGGGATTACCAACAGACCCCTGGCTGTCTTCAAGCAGGCGCTGGACAGGTCAGTACCTGAAAAGCCAGGTTGTGGTTTGTGCGTTGGATTATGTGTGGCCAGCAGTAACAGCCTGGTTGATCAGGCCCTGATCCACCATGAGGCCTGGTCACAGACCGAGCTACAGGGGCGCTGACCCCCGGAACTCTCTCCAGGTATAGTGCATGGGTTGGTATAAATTTGGTAATAAAGGGTAGGCAACCCTGCACTCTACTCTGTGCATAATACTTTTCTGCGATCATAGATAAACTTTCTTACTACAGATGCCTTAACATGCCACTTCTCTCTCCCCTCATATATTCTTAACATGCCACCTATTTCTTTCCCCCTCATATTCTATGGTCCATCCTCTCAAGGGAAGTTCCTTGATACTGATGAGGGGCTCTTGATCTAGAGAATTGAATTTGTGCTTCAGTTCCCTGAATTAAACCTGAATGCCTTCCATCTTCCCACAATTGCTGTATAATCCCTGTGGGTGTAGCGCTACCTCGTAATATAATAATATTCTGGTTCATCATAACTTTCATAGACCTATCTGCCAACATCTCCACTCCCAAATAACTGAATAAATTCACTCTTCATACTTCCTTCATTTATTGCCTAGATCTTTTGTTAATCTCATCAACTTACTCTTGTCTAAGTTTGCTTATAATCTCCTTTTACATACCCTTTCAAATTCACCCATTAACCTTTGCAACTTCTTTCAACAAATCGGAGGGAGGGTGGCCCAAAAAGAAAAAAGTTTCTCTTTTTAACTTTAGTAATGTATACAGGAGAAAGGGTTACTAGTCCCTTGCTCCTGGCATTTTAGTCCCCTCTTACGATACTCATGGCCTTTGCAACTTATTTTCAGAATTTCCTTATAGAATCGTGTTATCGCCAGAGAGCAACTGTGACAGCTTCCATTGTGTCAGATCCAACATCTTTCAATCATACACCTCTCCTCAACACCTTAGTGTGCACTTCTTTTACTTAGTTAAAAAATAAATGAAATTAAATAGAGAATATTACTTGAACTCATCTTTAATTACATGACTGGGAAAATTGTTGTGGAGGTCTGAATAAACAAATTGTAAAATGTTTGTAGGAGCAAATTTACTTAAGTGAAGGACATGTGATATCAAGGTAATCTTGACCGTTGGCAGTTACAAGATGGTAGATTGTCAGGCATTTAGTCCATTTTGAGTCTTAAATAAAATTCATGCATTACTATTGGTTTGCAAATGTAATGAGCAAATAAGCAGGTTGGTAGGCCAAATAGCAGGTTGGTAGACAGCAGCCACCCAGGGAGGTACTACTGTCCTACCAAGTGAATGTGAAATGTAAGCCTGTAATTGTTTTGCATGATGGTAGGATTGCTGATCTCTCTTTCTGTCTTATAAACATACAAGGTTGCAGGTATGTCTTGCTACTTCTACTAACACTTAGGTCATGCTACACATGCATGTACAAGCATATACATATATACAGCCTCTCCTC